TATGGGGCTGTGTTTTGGATTTGTGCTGGAAACAGTGTTGGTAATACAGAGACGTTTTCGTTACTGCTGAGCAGTGCTTACACAGAGTCAAGGCCTTTTCTGCTTCTCACCCCACCCCACCAGCGAGTAGGCTGGGGGTGCACAAGGAGTTGGGAGGGGACACAGCCGGGACAGCTGACCCCAGCTGACCAAAGGGATCGGCTTTTGCTTTACCTATTAATTATCTCTTATCTCAACCCAGGAGTTTTCTCCCTTTTACCCTTCCAATTCTCTCCCCCCGGGGGGGCAGTGAGCGAGCGGCTGTGTGGGGCTTAGTTGCTGGCTGGGGTTAAACCATGACAATGTGAAACATTTAGAAAATCTGGCCCACATTCTCCTGAACATCATGTGAAGCTATGGCACTGATAATTTCTGGCCACTGAAGAGCTAAGTCTCGATTCTGAGCCCACATGCACATAAAGCAAAAGTGACTCTTGTGAAGTTAATATGTTGGTAAATCAGAGTAAGTGAGATCTACTACATTAGTCCTCTACCATTGTTGCCCCCAGTATTTTGGTTCAGTTTCAAAGAAACAGCTATACTTCGGTGTTACCCACAAGGGGGGCAGTGAGCGAGCGGCTGTGTGGGGCTTAGTTGCTGGCTGGGGTTAAACCATGACAATGTGAAACACATTTAGAAACTGGCCCACATTCTCCTGAACATCATGTGAAGCTATGGCACTGATAATTTCTGGCCACTGAAGAGCTAAGTCTCGATTCTGAGCCCACATGCACATAAAGCAAAAGTGACTCTTGTGAAGTTAATATGTTGGTAAATCAGAGTAAGTGAGATCTACTACATTAGTCCTCTACCATTGTTGCCCCCAGTATTTTGGTTCAGTTTCAAAGAAACAGCTATACTTCGGTGTTACCCACAACTTTTTTCTTTCTTTGCAAAGAAAAATCTTCAAATTCTTAAAGATTAGTGGCAGCTAATTTGGGGGCAGTATAGAGACGAAACTCTGATTCAGTGAAAAAGAACATGATAAAACGTGTTCAAATGCGGTTGTAGATCAGTGCAGGTACGTGCGACGATTCTTTCATTCACCCAACACATCAGCTCTAGTCAAGGTTATGGAAGAGATTTAGTTTTAGCTTCTGGTGTTTTCTTTAGCCCTAATGCTTTATGAAATAAAAATCAAGATCTAAATGATAAACAAATAAATAAATAATCACGCAAACCATTCTGGAAAGTCCTGCCATTTCCTTCTCAAAAAATCATTAGGTAAGACCATACCATCAAAATAAGCAAGCTTTCTGAGGTATTCTCCTGCTAAAATGTGAACACAATCCTCCGTTATTCCCCCAGCTGGTACACACAGAATGAATCTTTATAAAAGGTGTGTTTTGTCTTACCTAGAGATACACAAAGCTAAGCAACATCTTACAGAGACTTTAATTTAATCTTTCATGTAGCCAGGGAGCTTTAAGCTCTAGTGCTTTTAATTTACATTACCTCATAAATTAATAATGTAGGTATGACGGAGGGTAGCTCATCAGATTAAATGTGTCATTTTATAAAGCAGTTTGGAAGCAAAAAGTATGAAGCCAAAATGAAGTAGTCTTAAATGATCCATTAGGCGCATAAATCATTACATGTGTTATTTCTGGACTAGACAGTGGTTGAAATGAATGATAATTTAGTTACTGTAATTTTATTTTAAGCTAGTGAGCACTTACAGAAGAAGTAAGAGCGCAGCGCTGACCCTGGCGTGCTCTTCAGTGGCCTGCCAGAGCTCTCTGCGTCCCGTCCCCCCCCCGCAGTCCTGCACCAAGGGTGAGTGGCACCCCTGGTAGCGAGCATGGGACAAGTTCTCCCTGAGCGGTCTACACTTGGGCACAACCCTGGCATTGATGGAGCTGCACAGGGAGCCTAGAGCAGTTTGGACGTCAATGCATAAGTTTTGGTTTGCTTTGAAGAGTGACTCTCTCCCCATGCTGTGGACACAACTGCTAGTCTACTTCAGCTTAAATAGAAAGTTCCTTACTATGCAGTATGTGTCAATCAGAAATCCTTAAGGACTTTACATTATGGCCTAATACTCAAGATCTTATAAAGAAACGGAATAAACCTGCTCTTAAATTTAATGTGCTACTATAAAATTTTGGTGGCAAATTTATTACAATTATATGTGCTATAAAATGGGGAAAAAAAACCGTGCAGCTTTAAACTGGTCTGTGTCCATGACAGGTATGTTCTTTTGTGAGACTACAAAACATACAAATTCATATATTTACGGCATTATATATATACATACTGGTACAATACAATAGGAATTTGAAACCATAATAAACCATATAATCTGTATAGGAGGGACTATATATCTATTCACTGTTCCTGCATTTTATGATCCCTCTTTTGTATATTTTTTCCGAACGGTGGCTGTTCTTTACAGGCTCTTTAGCTGTATAGTGAGGTACCCCAAAGCACGCCTGCTGGCTCAGGCCCCGGGAAGCAGCCCACCGAGGAAGGGGCGGTGTGAAGGCACTGCCTGTGCTGCGGTGAGGGCAGGCCGAGCTGCCCAGCCCTGCTGAGGCAGGTGTCCTCGGGGAGCTTTGCTGCCAAAAAAATGAGGTGCCTGTGGATTTTAGCCACCTGCGTAGGCAAGATCTGAGAATCCCTTCCTTTACTACCTCACTGCTAAGGTGACTTAGATGTCATATTTCCACCTTCTCCCACTACCACCTTTTCACTTATCTCATTGCAAATTCCTGCCGGAGAGCTTAGATAGTATATAAAATATAAATGAAGGTGACAGATAAAAGAAGCAGCAAGCGATTAAGCAAGTTGCTTGTTAGTTCCAGGCCAGAATTGTCTTATTTTAACTATCCACAAGCCCATGCAATGCCTCCCTAACATGTCCAACTGTGCCTGGAGTGCAAGCTTTCCTGAAGATGGTAATGCCTCATACAGAGCTGCAAAGTCTCTGTATGTCTCTCTCTCTCTCTCTATCTGCATATACATATAATAGGCAAAAAGGGGGAATTATTAAGAGGGGATGCTGGAACTCAATGCTTGGGTTTTCAGATGTACATGCACATGACATGTCAGCCATTATGGAGCAGGCAGATGAACAGTAATTCTTTTTACAGTAATTCTTAGTGCAGGACCACTGAAAGGTCTCAGTGTAGATAGTGGACATGCTGAAGCAGACGCTACATAAACACATGGTAAGGGACAGTCCTCCCTCTGAAGGACTGTCTCATCCAAACGAAGAGACAGTACAAGGAAATCAGAGGTCTGTAGTGACTTGCTCAAAGCCACAAAACAAATCTGCAGCAAAGCTAGGAATCAAAGCCATATCTCCAAATGCCCAAGTCTACCCTGACACCAGTAAAAAAACTCCGCAAATTAACCTTATTCGGTCTGCTGTTCAGACACACAAATGCATGTATTTTACTAAGACTGCTGCAAGCTTACTTGTAATGATGTCCCCCTGCATCCCAAACAGGCTTCAGGGCTTGCCCCTGCTCTTCAACTCAGCCATCATTTAATTAAATGGAAGACATAAAACTACCAACCATATCAATTAACTGCAGCAACAAAGAGTGTAATGCTCTGGTTTTAACCCCAGGGATCTGGCAAACCACAACTGCTCACCCCAGAATTCAGCAGTATTTAAAACATTATCTGAGAGCAGCTGGAAAGAAAAATACTTAACACCCAAAGAAATGAAAAGGTAGTTGTTTTGAGCTAGCATTTGTTATTGTTTTTAGATTAAACTGTTGCTTTCTCTACCCTCCATGCTTCTCTCATCTCTGAAGCAACGACGTTTGCTGTGGAGTAAACAACAAATACAAACTGAAGACTGAAGTGCAGGAAACATGGCATCTTATGAAAATGCCTTTAAAACTTCTGGGTACTGCTCTAGGACCTGCAGTGAATGTGAAATTCCTTTATCTGCAGCCCCCGAATGATTTAGAAGATGAAGAAACTGTAACGATGGCTAAGCAGCACAATTTCAGCATTTATAACCTTAACCCTAGTCATCTGAGGTAGAGCGTTGCCAGAGTACCCTGGTTTCTTAGATTTTTTCCTGTAGTGAGTTTCCACCTCGCTGCTGCACAGCTGGAAGCTGAGAAATGTGTACTTCTTACTGTTTACTTTCTCAGCTACTTCATTAAAAGGCTGTGAGCCCCACCGTGTAACAGAAGGGGAAAACGTTGTTCACATCCTTCCATGTATCGGGGAAGCTCTCTGACACGGGACATCTTGATGGCTGAGTCATCCCATCTGTCCCAGACACCTCTCAGGCCAAAATGAGATGAGATGGAGCGCTCACCAAGAGGCAGTCCTTCAAGCAGGCAGAGCATCCTCAGCCCCTCACGGAGGACGGGCACTCAGGGTTTTCCATGAGCGCTTCAGGCTTTGTGGGTTTGGCTTGCTGTAAAGACAAGGTGTGCTGAAGATAAAGTGCTGCCTTTGGTTATGACTGCGCTTCCTCCCGGAAATAAACACAACAGCTCGAGTTTAACTGGGATCAGAGCTTGGCCTTTGATGTCAGGGGCATAATGCCAGGAAAATACTGCAATACTTTTTACTTGGCTATTCAAGGCACTGCACTAGTCCTGAGTTTGGAAAAGAAAAGCAAGCTTAGCTTACTCAGAGATTGCCATAAAAGTCAGCTGTGGGTAGAGGAAGAAGATATTAATAAAAAAATTATGTTCACAGAGGTTTGAACAGAAAACTCTTGAGAAGCCATTGCAGAAAATGCGGACTTTCATTACGTGACTTGTAGGTATCAGAAATAAACCCGGATTTCTTACTGTTGGAGTGAAATTGTATTAAGAATAATAACATACCACCTAGCACAGGATACAGAATGAATTCAGAACATCCTTTAACAAACCTGAAGAGGAAAGCAAATGCAAGTTTGATTTAACTGGCTGATCTGAATAAAATGTCCGCTAGAGGTAGAGCAGCATGCAAGAGCCACAGGAGAAAAAACAAAGGTCCCATACCTGTATCTTTGCTTTGGAGACTGCTTTTCAGCTGACTTAAAAACATGTCCAAGATAATACAAAGGAAAGAATAAAAAGTTCCAGTTTGTTGCAAACCACGTTAGAGTGAAGGGTGCATCGAATTTCTTAAAGGTCAGTTTTGCTAGTTGGGTTGAACCCGACCAGGAGGAGCAGACACCCAGGACCACGGCCATACCCCAGAAAATCTTCTTGAGTTGCGCCACGGAGCATTTCCAGCAACAGCGGTTCACCCTTCCACCGCCTTCCGCCCCAGCTTGCATCTGTGCTTCGGCTGGGGCTGGAGACTCCCGGGAGCGCTCATCCCCTGGGGAGAAGAAAACACAAGGCTTACTAAGGAAATCCAGGCTGCATTTTAGTTTTCAAATCCTAGGCCCTTCTGAAGTCATGTGGAGCTTTACCAGCAAAAAACCCTCACCAGATCTTGACACAAAATGTCCTTCATTTTTAGATCATTGCAAAGCCTCTGGTTCAACTGAGGCATAATTACAATGCAAATAATAATTATCACCTCTAGATTTAGAAGCCACTGGGTAAAATGGAAATGAAAATTACATGTTGCTCTGATGTACATTGAAAGGCTTAACACACCACTTAAACTGATGCTGTTAGGGTGCGCAAATGAATGAAAAATACAGCATTGAGTTTAATAAAGCAGCAAAGGGGATTACAACACCGCTTGGAATTGTTATTGTCTTGGAAAATGTGGAATTGAGCAGCTTATGGAATATGGTGTTTCTTAAAAGGAGAGAAGTGACAATGTATTTAATCTTGAAGTTAAGCACGATCACTGCAATGTAAGTAGCACGATTAATACTGAACTGGGATCACCAAGTATTTCAGTGATCCCTAGCAAAACAGCTCTCCTGAGGCTGTAACCAGATGTCAAAAATTAGACCAACCCACAGGCTGCCTTGAAGAGCATCTCAGACTAGGCAACCCCAACTTTTTTTAGCTCAAGTTCTGCACCAAATGCAACGCAGCACGTGGACTGAAACTTTGCCCTGGTATAACTAAGCCTGGGATGCTGCTGGAAAGCTCAGTTTCACACATGCCTTATTGCTGACCCCAGTGTCGAGGGTCCCAAAGCAGAAGCGGCTCCTCAGCCACGCACCTGAGCACCCATCAGCCCAGTTACAGACACTGTACAAAGCAGGTGATAATTTTTAAAGACGGCATCCACTGTATGTCTGGTTTCAAATCAGCTGCGTGACAGCCATCAAAACCTCCTTCAGGCTTATGTTTCCAAAACTTGTCTCTTTCACAGATTAGAGCACTTGGTTTAATGAAAAAGTAATTTCTCTCCTAAAATACCTTGCCCTTTACTTACATCTTTAAACATGAATTGCTATAGCCCTGCTATTGTACCACTGTCAGCAGATACTGTATCCAGCTTGTGAATGAATGAGCAAAGTGAGGTTAGGTGATTCAGTTCCTACCGAGATCAAAATGTGCTGGCAGACCTCAGCAGCAGGCCACTGCCTTTAGGGCTTTCACCTGCCTTCCTTAAATTCACCCCATTTAACATGCGCTAAAGCCGTCAGTCACGTGCATGCAACACTCAGCAGTGATTTCTGTTAAACGCTGACTTCAGTTTAGTTGGTCCATTCACTTGAAGGAGGATGTAATAGTAATTCATGTTGAAAGCCAGGATCCTACAATTTCAAGAGTCCAGAGGTCATTGCATGCATTGAAAGGTGAAAAGAGAAATGTAAGTACAGCCAGGATAATGAGAGACTCTATTATTGCCAAACATTTATATATGTTCAAGGCAGACTAAGAGAGATCTGCACATAAAAAAATCCTTCCTTCTATTGGTGAGAATCAGTATTTGGAATGGAAAACCTCTTAAAGCTTCTTATTTCAGGTTAACCTGAATTTGTATTTACATGAGCTAATACTTTATTAAAAAAAAGGTTTATTCCGATGGAGACAACTATTTAATTACTTCTTCACAGATAAGAAATGGATGATCTGAGCTAAGAGTACCGTTAGTTTGCCTAATAAAGCTGTATTTTGTAATGGGAAAAACTGTGGCCTCTGATATCCTGAAACCTAAAAAGAATGTACAGCAGCATAAACAGTATAAACATGTAGTCTTTTTGACCGGCTTTAAGAGAGGTGGGGATGTTGCTGATCTCTCCACTTACTTCAGTTTTCAACAGAAGATTGTGTGGGCAGCTTCCCATGTAATGGGAGATGCACCAGCAGGCCAATGAATTATCCAAAGTTAACGTGGCTTTGTATCAAACACATACGGGAAAGGTTACAAGCTACCTACTAAAAGTTAGAAGAAGCTAGAACTGAAAAAAAAAAAGGCTGCCTGTGAACCCTTAGCTCATTCAAAATCATTTAAATACATTTTCTTCACACCATTGCTTGTAAGTAGTGCTTCTTGCCTCACTTGCTGCACAGACCGGTCAGGATTCAGTTTACCGAACAACGGTACATTCATTTCTTTTAATTTCACCACCCAATGGGCAGCTGCCAGCGCCCTCTTTGCTGTCTACCACACAAGTCCCACAATGATTACTGAATTTTTCCTTTCCTCTCAAGCTTTTCTGCTGGGCGTTGTCACTGCAACACCAAACACTTCACACACCTTAATGAACTCCGGCGTTCTTCCCATGGGCCACAAGGAGATCTGGGCACAGAAAAAACAAATCCAGGCAGCCGGGGTGCCAAGCAAGAGCTTAGGAGGGGTTTGTGCCACTGTGTCAATGCAGGGAAGAGCCCTCCTCCACTCGCAGTTTGCATCTCTGAAACTACTTGGAGAGGTAGGCAAAAATGTTCCTCCTTCTAGAAGATAGCTAGCAGGGTACCCACCGTCCCCATCTTCTCTGCAGTTACTCCCCCAGGAAGCAGGAAACCAGGATTTAAACCCCTCCTGCTGAAAGTATTTAACACTAGGGAACATGCCTTAAGCCACTAGGGTATATGATATCTGAAGATGAGTAGGTGCTCTGAATCACAACACTGAAGCTGTGTCATTTTTTCTAAAATAGGAATTGATCACTGAGACAGCAAGATAACATGTCTGGCCCTCTGGCCCAGTAGTCCTGGCAATCACTGAAAAGGGGGAAAAATCACAACTATACCATCTGATGCACCAGACACTCACATAAAATAATGCAGTGTTTGGTGGACACCCCAGAACAGACACTGTGGTGAAGATCTTCTCCCCACCAAGGGCTGAAGCCACCCACCCTGCTCCCCCTTGTACTGTGCACATACTCATGAGTCAGCAGTTCATTTGGACAGCTTGCATGAACATCGCTGCCTTTTAACTCTATTCCATGGCAATTACTCCCTATGAAATAAAGCTAAACTTTACTGATGTCTTCTCTGCTCCATAGGCAAAATGACTTGTCCAGGTACATTTAATTTTGTGTTAAACACACCAACAGAAACATTCATTTTCAGCAAAAGACAATACCGCATGTATCACTTCTGAAGTGATCTTGCAGCTCAAGGCTTAAATTTCTAGGAATGCTCATTCTTTGGATGCATTTACATGCTGGATGGAGTAAAAACTTATCCCAGGCATGATGGGTTTCATGATGATGGGCCCCATATTTTGGGGTAAAAATCACTGTCCTGGTGATTAACAGCTACAGGCTGAGTCGGGTAGTATCTGTCAGTATCTGTAGTACCTGTCAGTGAAACTGTATTGTGCCCTCGTGATTTCCTGTGCTGCCAGAGGGCTAGATGTCAAATGGGCACAGCCTTTTCAAGTGGATGCGGCACTGTCCTGGAGGATACCTGGGACATAATCTGCTCCCAAAAGCCAGATTGTCTTTGGAAATGGTGGACGCTACAGATGATATACACCCATGGGGCATCATCCTCTCATTTACGGTGCTGGGGACTTGCCTGACAGCTGGCACGCGTAACACCCAGAGCTGTAGCTTTCCCTGCCCAGTCCCTGTGTCCCCATGGGGACATCTTCCTCGCCCAAACCGCAGGTGCACAGATGGGGTGACATCAAACCCACACATGGAAGAGAAGCTCCTCACTCTCTTTCTAACACTGCACAAAGGCCAGCTGGCAACAGAATACACATGAATTTAAAGATGGCAAAATGTCTTTTCAGAATGGATGAGGCAGGACATTAAAGAATTTTATTTCGGGACATCCTCCTTCAGACTTTTAACTCTTCCATTGCTCCTTGCAGCAGACTGCTCTGTATGCTACTGTATCCCCCAAAAGAACAAATCAAGATGCTGAGATAGAGGAAAATGCCTATCTTGCTTTTACTAATTTTGGCTTTTCATCCTCCCTTTTGTACATTCATTTTCCTGTTTCATAAATCCCAACTGGAACCACTCCTCCTCCCTCCCTTTCAGCCCAGCGTCTCTCCCATGGCATTCAGAAGCAAAGGAAGGAAATCACCTCCAACGCTAATGCCAATGCCCTTACCCACGGGGATCCCCAACCCCAGAAAACAGCCGTCCTTCTGTTTCCTCCATTATGGGTGAGACCCCTCTCAGCTGACTTCAGATACCTGTGGTAGGGACATCTATACCTGAGCTACTCACTCCATGCTCCCGGCTGAGGCCATGCAGAAAAACAGGTACTGGAAGGCACTACCCATCCCACGTAAGGTAGATGCCTTAGATGATGTGCCCTTTCTTACTGACTACAGATGCTTGCACTGGGTTAGAGAAAATCCACCCCAGCAGAGGTAACATCTTTAAATAGCCTGTCCAGACCACTTCAAAAGTGCTTTAAGGCTTAAGACTCCTGTGCACAGCTAGCCAGTTAAAGGCTTACCATAGGACCACGCTGTACCTCACTGTATATGTTAAAAATGTGATACTGATAAAAACCAAGGGTGGCATTCATCTTCTCAGTTTGAGACATCTGCTGTGCAGACTTGTATATCTGAGACAGTCATTTACACTTTCTGCATAGTTAGTAGACAGAAAAAAGACACTTCCATAGCACGATTTATCTCCTCCTAAAGTAGACAATTAAAACAAGCCAGATGAATCACCCTCTCCAAGTGCTTGTTTCTCTCCACCAGCTCTAAACAGTCTGGGGTGACAAGCTCAGAAGTAGGTGTCTCTAGTGTAGGTGTCTGAAGCTGGGTGAGATGAGTCCCACCTCTCTACCACTGCTGTCAGGAACAGAGAGTAAAGCCACCGCAGACAGCACTGGTAGGCTCAGGGCTGGGCCCCGCCACACAAACATATTTAGCTGTCACCAATAAACTGCTTTAGCTGTTGCCCCCTAGTCAGCAAATGAGTGAAAGAAGTATTACAGAAGTGCTGGGTGCCCTTGCCAACCCTTCAGAGTGAGAAAGTG